AAGCAAAACAAAAATAATCAATCCTTGTATGAGTTTTTGAAAAATAAAAGATTATGTTAATGCTTGAAAGTATAAGCACTTGGAATTTTCTTATGCAGTGTACAGATCTTTGCTCGTGGCTTTTTAAGTGAAGTCGCACATTAAATACCGTGTGTCTTTTTTATAGTCAGCATGTATTACTTCTATAATGAAAAATCAAAAATCTAATGCCTGTAACTTTAAACAACAAATAAAAATATATATTATGTATGAAAACTGGAGTCACCGAGGAAACGTAAGATCTTAGTAGGATTTGGGGTAGTCTAAATTGTTTTATTAAAAATTGTACTTTACTATAAATCCTAATCTACTTAGGTCCTGGGATCCCAGCTTCACATATTCCCCCCCCCCCTTGAATAATTTTATATATAACAGAATCAAGAAACAAAAAAAGAACAATTTTAAACCAACCTATATGGGAAAAGTATTTTCTCCAAATTGTAAGAATAAAACCTTAAAAAAAATTCTGAGTTTGGTAATTTTTTTCTTTTAATTTAGTCTTACTTAGATGGGTAGCACACAGCTATTTATTGTGCAAGTTTAGGTTCAGAATTTGTCAGTCTTTATCAACAATCACATTCTTGCTAACTTACACATCACTCTGTATATCCATGCCTCCTAACTCATAAGTGGTTTATATTTCTAACTCGTGTTAATACAGTAATATGTATTTTAGAAAATAGGTTACTGTGTATCTGTGGGAATATTTGTGCGAGTCCTAAGGTGATGGTTGTTATTGGGAACACCATTAATATTAATATTGTATATATTCTCCATAGAGATTATCTTTTAAAATTTAAACCTGGGGCTGGAGAGAAGGCTTATGGCTAAGAGCACTTGGCACTCTTGCAGAGGACAGGGGTTTGGCTCCCAGCATGCATATGGCAGTCACTACTGCCTATTACTACGTCTGTGGAGACAGCACTCTCTTCCTGCTCTGGTGGGCACCAAGCATGCACGTGGTGCAATATATACATGCAGGCAAACTACTCAACACAGAAAAATATATTTTATTTTATTTTATTGTCAATCACTGAGGTTTTATTGAGTCCCCAGGGCTCTCCAAAACTATCATTAGGGGAGTAGAGTTTCACTACTGCTGATTTTTCTGGAACATTCAGATTTTTATGCTCCTGAATTTGACAACTGTTCACATTCGATCTGTCATTTCTTCACTCCCACAAGGCTCAAGAGAAATGGCTTCAGTTTGGCCTGGCCTTTTGGCATTTAATTTCCTTAAGCCTTCTTTCCCTCATCTTTTTCGGCGAGGCAGTCATGTCTTGCTTCTTCTGTAGCTGGGTCAGGACTCAAAAATATATTTTAAATATTAAACTTTGTGTAAACTTCTCAATGTTGACCTCACACCCTCTATGACAACATTGGGGATGCTGTCCTTGGATATCTTTTGTCATTAATCTATTCAAATATCCTGATCAGACTTGCTTCTCTGAAACCTGCCTCCGTCTATGGAGTGAACTTCTAGAAGCTATGAGCATATGACCTCACCTTTGTTGCCAGTTGAACGAACAATATTGGACCACTGAGCTGGGCCAATCCAATTCTCTTTAGAGATTTATTTATTTATTAAAGATTTCTGTCTCTTCCCCTCCACCGCCTCCCATTTCCCTCCCCCTCCCCCAATCAAGTCCCCCTCCCTTGTCAGCCCAAAGAGCAATCAGGGTTCCCTGCTCTGTGGGAAGACCAAGGACCACCCACCTCCATCCAGGTCTAGTAAGGTGAGCATCCAAACTGCCTAGGCTCCCACAATCTGGAAAGACAAGTTAGCTGCTCAGAGGACAAAACTAATAGGTACAGCCAGGATCTCTCGAGTTCCCATGGCTACCACAGAGCTGAGAAGTGGAGACACAGACAGTAGAGGGGCTGCCAGTGTCCCGGTCCCCGATTTTGCCTTCCAGAAGCCCGGCTGCCCAACCTAAGGAAGAAAGTTTCCTCTGCTCATGCAGTAGCCGAGTTCATTTCCGTAACTCCAACCCAGAGTCTTAAATGGTACAAATGAGATCGCTTTATGTAGTCAGTCTTTTATGTAAAATTTGTCCTCACTGGGGGCATAATTGAGAAAATCTTAACTGACAATCAAATGCCACACTTTTAATTTACTATTTGGGCGTGTCACGCTCACACCTGTGATTCCAGCACGGGGTGGCAGAGGCAGGAGGATCATGAGCTCAGTCCGCCTCAACTCCATAACCAGTGTGAACACAGCAGGAGCCACGTGAGACCCTGTCTCAAACAAACCGCAACAAAACTCAAACTCATTGTTAGGGGCTTGATAACGAACCCCTAGGAGTAGGTTGTGCTTCTTAGGCAGCAAAACCTGGGGCTAACGTTCTGATGGTGCAGTACCGTCAGTGGCCTCACAGGGGCAGCAAAGGATTGAGAATGCCGAACAGGTAGGCGTAGGAGGCAAGTTGTTGGTTATCTCTGGGGGACATAGCTTGGCCACAGGCCTCAATGAGTTGGGGTCGAGTTAGACACAAGCACGGGTTCAGAGAGGTCTGTCTGGGAAATACTTTCAAAGACAGCATCTCCTAGCAAGGCCAGGTCTGCGCTTGTCAGGCTCCATGTGGAAGCCACCAGGAGCGTGTTAGCTTATTTGAATTGGGTGTACCGTGAGTGTAAAACACAGTAGATTTTACTTAGCATATAAAATGAGTATAAAATATCTCTCATATTTTCAAGTGATTACAAGTCCAAGTGACGGTTTTAAGAATACAATAAAACCAATTTCATTTTCTTTTAACTTTTAAAAATGGAGTTACGAGGAAATTATTTTACAACATGGGTTTCACTATATCTCTGTTGGACAATACTGACTCTAAAAATAGCCCAGGTTTTCCTTCCTGAATGTATTTCTCAATTTAAAAATTATTTCTGAGGAGCTGGAGAGATGGCTCAACAGTGAGACGTACCTGTGGCTCTCGCAGAGACCTAAGTTCGACTCCCAGGGCTCAGCGCGTGGCTCAGTTCCAGTTCCAGGAGTCTTGATAGCCTCTTCTGACGTCCCAGGGCGCCAGGCATGCACGCAGTACATATACATAGTGTAGAGAGAGCACCTGTGCACCTAAAGTAAAATAAATATTTGTGTTACTTCTGAGGGGCTGGAGAGGTTGCTCAGTAGTTAAACACACTTGTTGCTCAGTCCTGGGACCCTGCATTTGGATCCCACCATCCACGCAGCAAGTGGCTCACAAACGCCTATAATTCCAGCTCCCAGACACCGAACACTTTCTTCTGGACTCCAGGGCTTCTCAGACAGACACACAGACACACACATATATACGCATACAGAGACAAATAAATCTTAAAAATGAGTATGAAGAGAAATTTGTATGAGTTATGTTTTTAGTTGGTTTCTTATTTAGAACAGAAATGTGCTCTGAAGTCATATTCTGGTCTAATGCTCAGGGAACACTGGATAAAATGTTTTCCTTTGCCTTCCGTAGAATCTCTCTCCAGGAGTGTTAGACAAGATTGAGGCCTCCATTTTCTTGGAAGTCTATGGAACAAGAGTGTAAACAATCATAATCATGACTTGTAAACAGGCAGGGATAATAAACTCCTAAGTATGAGAGACCTGAACGTCATAATGGATTCCTGAAGATTACAGTGACCATAACTTTAAGATTATTCCAAGATAGGTAGGTCATCCTTACTTTCAAGTTTCCAATTTTTAAATATTTCTTATCATTATTTATACGCATGTGTGTATGTTTGTGTGAATGTATGTCACATGCGCGCAAATACATGGAGACCAGAGGGGACACTGGATTCCCTGGAGCTGGAGTTACCGGTGGTTGTGAACTACTCAGTGTGGGTGCTGGGAACTGAACTCGTCCTCTAGAAGGGCAGCAAGCCCTCTTTACCACAGAGCCATCTCTTCAGGGCCTCTAGTTTTAGGCTTATGTGAGACTGGAAGGCAGCGTGAATGAATCACTGGCTCAGACTTCCCCCTCACAGCTCCCTGCAGCCCACCCCTCACCCTGGACGGTTAAGCCTTTGTCATATAGAACCGTATTTGATGATCAGCGCGAGATAGCGAGAGGCCCTGGAGTCAAACTGCCTGGCTTCCCATCCTAGTCTGGCCAGTCTTTGTCCAGGTCATTCCAATTGTCCATGAGGTCTGACTGAAACAATGCATGCAGTCACTGAAAAGAAGGCAGGCATGTAGTGAATTCTCTAGTAATCGCTAGTAACTAGAAGTTTTGTTGTTGCTTGAATGTTTCCTTGAGACAGGTTCTCAGTATGTCGCTCTCGCGGGCCTGGGGCTCACGATATAGCCCACCATGCGAGGCAACTAACATCTTTTAAATATTCCTTCCACACAAACCCATTTTACACGTGTTCTTTTGTTTGCTTTTGTTTGGCGGGGTGAGAAGGTTGAGGCACTCTGTGTGTCCTAGGATGGCCTAGCTAACCGTTAGTTTCTGCCTCCTGAGTGCTGGGATTTTAGCTACCATACCCAGGGCTGCAAGTGTTAGGTATATCTACCTTCTCACAAGTGAGATAAAACACAGCAAAAAGAGTATGTAGGTGCACCTGCCTCATCCCCTTGAAGTTACCTTCTTTCGTATCTCTCTCCTTAGTAAAATCATAATAAACCTAGGCTAGAAGCCCTATCTTACTCCTGCCCAGCCCTGGTACCCAGCACCCAGCGCCGCTGATTGGCAGCTCTGCAAGCCGTAAGCATCGGAGACTAGGTTCTGGTGGGTGCTGGCTTTGCCACTTACAGGCTAACAGCGAGCCACCCACTCGTTCTCCCGAGGTGTGGCTCAACTCTAAACCCGGGATCTCTCACCCGGTACGTGATGATCCCAGGTCTCCGCACGGCGCATGCGAACGACTGCGGCGTGTGCCCGCCAGGGGGCAGCAGAGCACACCCGGCCAGCTCGCGTCGCCCCACGTCAGAGCGGATGCCCCGCCCCGTGACCGTGACCGTGACAGTGACCGTGACTGAGGGCTGCACTGGGGCCGCGGTGCGACAGGAGCGATGGGGGAGGAGGAGGCGGGGGTGCGGCCCGAGCTGGTGCGCGAGGCGGAGGTCAGCCTGCTGGAGTGCAAGGTGTGTTTCGAGAGGTTCGGCCACCGGCAGCAGCGGCGCCCACGCAACCTGCCCTGTGGCCACGTGGTCTGCCTGGCCTGCGTGGCCGCCCTTGCGCACCCGCGATCGCTGGCCTTCGAATGCCCCTTCTGCCGGCGGGCCTGCAGAGCCTGTGACACCAGCGACTGCCTGCCGGTGTTGCACCTTCTGGAGCTCCTGGGCTCCACGCTTCGCGCGTCCCCGGCTGCCCTCAATGCCGCTCCCTGCGGGCCCAGGGTGCTCACCTGTCACCACGCCTTTGGCGGGTGGGGGACCCTGGTGAACCCCACGGGGCTTGCACTGTGTCCCAAGACCGGACGGGTCGTGGTCGTGCACGATGGTAAGAGGAGGGTCAAGATCTTTGACTCCGGAGGAGGAGGTGCACACCAGTTTGGAGAGAAGGGGGACGCAGCGCATGACGTGAAGTACCCACAGGACGTCGCTGTCACCAACGACTGCCACGTGGTTATCACCGACGCTGGCGACCGCTCCCTCAAAGTATTTGATTTCTTCGGCCAGATCAAGCTGGTTGTGGGAAAGCAGTTTTCCCTGCCTTGGGGTGTGGAGATCACCCCTCAGAACCAGGTCCTGATGACTGACACAGAGGCAGGAACCTTGCACCTGCTGGAAGTGGACTTCCCTGAAGGGGTCCTTCGGAGGACTGAGAGATTGCAGGCTCAACTCTGCAGTCCCCGTGGGGTGGCTGTGTCTTGGCTCACCGGGGCCATCGCAGTCATAGAGCACCCCTGGGCCTTGGGGACATCAGGCAACAATACACGGGTGAAGGTGTTCAGCGCCACTATGCAGCTGATTGGCCAGGTGGACAGCTTCGGACTGAACCTCCTCTTTCCCTCTAAAATAACTGTCTCAGCTGTGACCTTCGATCCCCAGGGAAATGTGATTGTCGCAGATACCTCCGGACCAGCCATCATATGCTTGGGGAGACCTGAGGCGTTTCCGGCCCTGAAGCCCATGATCACACACGAACTTTCTCGTCCTGTGGCACTGACCTTCACCAAGGAGAATTCTCTTCTTGTGCTGGATTCGGCTTCCCACTCTGTAAAAGTCTTTAAAGTGCTCGAGGGTAATGGAGGGTGATGGGGACCCGCGGTCCTGGAGTTAGAAGTCCTGGTGTCCTTAGGCGTGAATTGCACCCTGCATGAGTCACTGCCCCTCGTCCATCCTGGCAGGAATAATGGGACCTGCCTGGCCGAAGTGCTGGGTGTGAGACAGTTATTGAAGACTAATAATTAAATTTGTCATTTAGTGAACGTCTGTACCCCCTGTTAAGAAATGAGCAAGTCTTAGCTCGTGGGCTCCTTAACACGAAGAGATGTGATTTTTGTTATTAGTCCCATTTCAGAGATGAGAAGGCAGATCCAGAGAATTTCGTATGATGTCCTCGAGTCGTTTGTACTGGGACAGTCACAACTGAACTCATTCTGACTGCAAACCCCTTGCTCTTAAATATGATGCCAGATGTTAAAAAAATGTGAGTATGTCCTATGTATGTTCCCCCTACACGTAGCTAACTGGTTAAGTGCACCAAGAACCAAAAGAAAGGGGTCTCCGTGGAGTTTTCAGGAGGAAAAGGATTGTGTTTGGGTGTCAGTCACCTTTATCTGGGAGCTTCCCCAATGGCAGAGTAGACAGATTATTACTGATCCCAAGACTTGAATAAGAAACACAGTTGAAGTCTTGCTTATAAGGCAAATGCAGTCTAGTTGCTCTCCATAAAACCCTGGGAGGAGACTGTGCGCCTCCTCTACGGATCCTGTCTGGAGTCTAGTTGGTAGTGTGTGCCAGAAATCCCAGCTTGAGAAGATGTGGAGCTCAATGCCATCCACAGCCACCGAGTTTGAGGGTAGCCTGGGCTACATGACATTCTGTCCTTTTTCGATAGGTGCCAGTGTTTCCTCCTCCACAGGCACTGGGTACATCCCTGAGTGATGTTTGAGCAAAGCCTCCAGAGCCACTGCCTGCTAGTGGCATGGACAGCTGAGACTCTTCTGTTAATTAGGAGATGCCCTCCCAGCACGTTCATGGCAGGAATGGTTTCGTTTGCTGTGTGGTCCTCTCTGCCGCCTAAAGTCCTTTGTGATGGGAGTTTTCTCTGTGCGCTTTAAAATGTGGTTCTGACGCTGTCTGCTCAATAAACAGTTGCCTCGTCCTTTTTGAGCACTGAAGCATGACCTTGGCCCATGCAAGGGCTCCTTAATGCTGCAATTAAGGAAAGGAGTAGGAGGAAATTTGGGTGAAGTGTTGATCCTCTGTATGCTTTATTATTTTTTTTTAAGCAAGTGCAAAAATCTTTGAGTTGAAATGATACCGAATAACTTAAAGCTCTGAAGCAGCAGGGAAATGTTTTCTGGGGGCTGCTCTCAAAAGGTGACGGTTTGCTTTAGATAGTAATGGATACCTTGTCAGCAAAAACGGTATTCTTTTAGCCAAAGAGGCTGTTTGCTTCTGAGACAAGGTCTTGTATGTCCTAGACTGGCCTTGGACTTGCTCTGTAGCGAAGGATGACCTTCAACTTCGGATCCTCCTGTGTCCACCTCCCAAATGCCGGATGACAGGCTTGCACTGAAAGGCCTGGGGAGGTAGAGAGAACCCAGGGCTTCTACCTGCTAAGCAAGCCCCTCTACCCACTGAATTACAAAGAGTTTTAAGAGAGATATTGTATCCACTGAAGGTCACCCCGAAGGTATGAGTGAGATATCTTCCAAAAGACATGAAAGCTGACATTAGGAGCCCAAAATGAAAGCCCAGCTCCCATGCCAGTCCATAAAAATTCATGTTGCTTTTATTTAAAAGTTATTACACTTATTTACTCAGTGTGTGGGTGTGCATGCCATCCTGTGTGTGGAGATCAGCAGACAGCTTGAGTGAGTCTGTTCCTTTCTGCCATCTTCTGGGACCTGGGGATTGAACTCAGGTCATTGGCCTTGGTGGCAAGCACCTTTACTCCCAACTCATCCTCCTCTCCCATCCCCGCCCCCACTGCTGCTTTCCCTGCTCCCATCACATAGCACCGACAGTAGCATCTTGGGTATCCCACAGCACCGTCGGTCCTCTAGTGGGAACTCCAGTGGTTGATTTCTCCCCGTCACTTGTCCTTCAGCTGGATATGGTGGCACATACCGATCGATAATCCTAGCACTTAGTTTTCTGAGGCCAGCTTGGGCCACATCGTCAGATCCTGCCTCAAACAAACAAGACTAAATAAATCCTCACCGGTGGACGAGTGACTTCACAGCTATTTTGAAGGTAGAACAGCAAAACTCCTAGAGGGAAATATGAGTTCACTGGCGAGGAGGGCAACTGTGGATTGGTCTTATAATGTTTTCCTTCCGAACCACGGCATTTCGACGACGTTAGTGTTCATTGACCCAATTCAAAAGATTTTTTTTTTAAAGAAAAATTATCAGTCACATTTTTTAGCCTACGCTCTATGGTGTATCTTTAAGGGAGCATATCCAGCACCCAGGGTGGTTGTGAGGAGTGGCTTGTCACCAGGTGGAGAGTCAGCTGTGGGTTTGAACACCGGGCCAGCGTACCCTGGAGATGTGATGACTGTAACTGGTGCACTTGGTAACAGCTTGTCTTCCTTGGGAATAGGGTGGGTCAGGGTACACACCAAGAAGCATCTAGGGCAGCTCTTCCTGCGAGTCAGTGTGATACGGAGCAGTTTGTCTGTTCTGCGTCTCCAAGGGTCCTCAGCTGAGGGACTCATGTCATCAATTTGTGACGTGGATCTAAATTTTGTCTTCTGTGCCAAGTTCTTTAAAGCACACTGAACTCCAGGTGGCTAAAGGTGTTGAGGAGTCCTCAGATAATCAAGAAGAAATGGTTCCGGCAGACCACACAGGGTGCCAGCGTGATGGGGGAGAGATGGAATGGGACAAGAACATATGACCAGGAGTAAAGAACAAGAGAAATGAATTCTTCCAGGACACCAGTGATGGCCATCTAGTGACCGCAGAAGCAAACACAGTGCCTGCTTCAGCTCTCTGTCACCTTCCACCTCTTCCCCTCGGGCATTGTCGGCTGATTTTGACCTCACTCTGCTCGCTTGCTAGACCTGGCTTTCCCCATCGTTTGCCTTTGGCATTTTCTAAGAATTGTTTAATCTTGACTCTCTCCTGCAGCCGCCCTAGCTTTGGTGCCGAGGGCTGAAACCATCAAACTTGGTAGGTCCTTGTTTAGACCTCTCAGGGTTCCACTTGGAGGGGGTGCAGACCCCTCTGGAGATTAGCTAAATGAACCTTTGAGGAATAAGTGTAATTCCATATATATCAGAAAAATGAGCAAGAACCGCTGATGGTCACAGATTTAATGTTCCTTACGCTTGGCCCAGACAAAAGAAATACACCCTGGGGACAAGCCAGATCACAGTGAGAAGGCTCTAGGCAGAGAAAAAAAAACCCACTAGAGTACTTGCGTGAGGATGCATTTGTTGTGGGATAATCTTTTTTGTACACTTTGAAGATGCATCTGCCTAAAGCAGGTTGGTTTAATAAAGTGCTGAATGGCCAATAGCTAGGCAGGATTAAATAGGTGGGACTTCTAGGGGGAGAGAAGGGAACTCAGGAAGAATCTGAGGTGCATTGAATTAAGCAAGCAAGATGCAGAGCAAGTGGGACCTATGGTATAGATGAGAGGTAATGAGCCATGTAGCAGAATGTAGATTAATGTAAATGGGTTAGTTTAGGTTATAAGAGCTAGTTGGGAACAAGCCTAAGCTAAGGCCAAACATTCATAATTAATAAGAAGCACCTGTGTCATTATTTGGGGGCTGGTGATTCAAAGAAAGTCCAACAAGAAAGACTCACTCGATGCACTGGCTGGCCAGGAAGATGGCTCAGCCAGTGAAGGCGCTTGTCACCAAACCTAACTAGCTGAGTTGGATCCCTAGGTCTCACATGATGGAAGGAAAATGTTTAACTAGGTGGCTTACATTTTCAGAGGTCTAGTCCATTATCAACATGGTGGGACATGGTGGTGCGCAGGCAGACATGGTGCTGGAGAAGGAGCTGAGAGTCCTACATCTTGATCCACAGGCAACAGGAAGTAAACTGAGACATTAGGCTTACACATATATGAGACCTCAAAGCCCACCTCCACAGTGACACACTTCCTCCTTCAAGGCCACACCTACTCTACCAAAGCCACACCTCCTAATGATGCCACTCCCCATGAGCTCACAGGGGCCCAATGACATTCAAACCACCACACTTCCCAAGTGTCAGGATTCCAATACCCAGCTCAAAATTTTATTTTGCTGACCTGTTTGCAGAAAATTGGACTTAAACCTCCAAGTTTGGGTGTCAGAAATAAACTAAATCTGAAGGGAGTAGAACTCTCCCATGGATACAGTCCTGGTGTTCCTGAAATCAGGGCACAAGTGAGAATTCCTGTGCCAAGGGTCTAAACAGTTAAGTTATACAATAAGACACATTGATCTTCCTACTTTGGCAAAGGTAACTATAAATGCTAGCAACACACTGTCATTGTGACCTGGAAAACCAAATTACATTTTTTTGAATATCAGGAGGTTTTCCTCAACTTGGCAATGCTGCATTTTAAGAAGATTGTGGTGACACACACCTTTAATCGTAGCATTTGGGAGGCTGAGGCAAGAGAATCTCAAGTTCTTTTTTTTTAAGATTTATTTATTTATTAAGCATACAATGCTGGCAAGGAAGGCACCAGGTCTCATTACAGATGGTTGTGAGCCACCATGTGGTTGCTGGGAATTGAACTCAGGACCTTCAGAAGAACAGCCAGTGCTCTTCCCCTCTGAGCCATCTTTCCAGCCCGAGAATCTCAAGTTCTAATCTAACTTGGACTCCAAAGTAAGACCTAGTCTCAAACAAACTAAAACATACAACACTTAAGCAAGGCTGAAATGTATTTAAAGTGATGAAGAATGGACAGACTTTGTTTTCTATCCATTTTTGACTAGAATGTAATTCCTCATAAACGACATTTATGCTGTTCAAAGTGGTATCACTGTAGGCATTCAGATATATTTTTGAATTAGTGTGTATTTTTTCCCCCAAAGAAAACTTCCAGATTCTGTTTCCACTCACTAATGAAAAGTGAAGTCATGTAGGCAGGTGGGGACCTTGGAGCATGGTTTTAAAGAGAGGTGGCCTGAGGTGGCTTTGCTCAGTGACTCAGAGAAGCAAAGGCCCTGTGGTAGCTTTCTGGTAGCCGGTTTTGGCTGGGTGCAAAGAACTTTGTGTTTACAGTTGACATGTTTTCTATCTTCGCTCAAGAACCAGGATACTGAAGGCCCGGAGTGGCCTGAGACATCTTTGGTCAAAGCTCAGGCAACCAGAGGTAGTAGCCCTGGTTATAACTCTTCCATGTCAGAAAGTGATTTCAAGCCGCTCTGGAGGCCGATTGAATTCAATGCTCATGGGCCATGGGCCTGACCATGCTTGAAGCATTTCTGAAGTCCCTTCCAGGTTAATTTTGGTTAATAACGGTGCATAAAGTGGCTTCTACCTTCCTCAGGAATGACGCACTTGCTGACTCCAAGCTGTGGAAAAGGTTCGCTACCGTAGCTGACCAGTCCCTGCTTTACTGTAATCTCCTTCCGGTAATCTCCCGATGAAAGGTTATTGGTTTGACAAATGATGACATAAAAGCAGTTATAGGAAAAATCTAAAATCATTTACAAGTTGTGCCTTAAGCCACTTAGTTTTAGGAAAGGAAAGAAATTGTGTTTTCTACTACAGTGTACTCCAGCTCCACCTGAGGCCTACAGAAACAGAAAACTGGCTGAGGTTGCAAAGTTAAGAGAAGAATTAACCAGGAATAGGCTCCAATTTGCCCTGTCTAGTGGGAGAGGATTTGACAGTCAATGACTGAGAACACACACACACACCTGTTCTTTATCTTTGTACTTTCCCTGAGTGACCTTTCATTGTTTCATAGTATCCACTAGGATCTCATACTATTTGTTTCTCAAAAACATCCACGTTTGAACACACAGTGGTCTGAGAACGCTACTGTTTTTCAGAATGACCTGTTTGACCCTAACCTTGAGGCCATTCTCTTTGGTTGCTGTCTACATAAGCCTTTATGGGCCCAGAAGCATAAGACTCAGTCCCTACTGTGTCAATTCTATTCCATGGTCATCAGATGTAGTCTGTGCTCATCTTGTGACAGAAAAGAGCCTGTGCCTGCAAGAAGCCCATGAGAGAACCCAATGTGACTAGCTTGTCTCGATGTTTGCCTGACTTTAGAAAACAATCCATTTATTTGCTCTTTACAATATCTCTTGAAGCAGCCAGATTTTTCTAGTCTTTTAGATGGAGAAACTGTGGTTCACAGAAATTGAGTGGCCTGCTCAAGATGACATAGTTGAACCCTGTTATTTTTTATTTGGGAGAATAAGTGTTTTTTATTTAAATTTATTTTATGTGTGTGAATGTTTTATCTGCATGTATTTCTGTGTCTATATGTATATCTGTGTATCTCATGTGTGCAGTGCCCATGGAGGCCACAAGAGGGCACTGGGACTGGAGGTACAGATGGTTGTGAGCTGCTTTATGGGTACTGGAAATTGGACCCAGGTCTTCTGGAAGAGCAGCCAGTACTCATAGCCACTGATCCATCTCTCTAACCCAGAGAATGATTTTTTTTCTAAACACACCTTGTCCACCAAGGTGATTTCCTTGTTCAGCCAAAGTTGGATATCCCTTCTCTACCCTACTAACACAGAACCTAAATATCCCTTCATGGTATCGTTTCCACTGTGCCCACTATTTGCCCCTGTGGTGCTCCCAGTGATGTTTGGGGGGAGAAGGAGTGCCACTCTTGGCAGGACTCAGAGCCTAGGCCCACAACAAAGATGGACTGTTCACGTCTGAGTGTTGTATGATCTATGCAATGGTCCTTCTTTGACCAGCTAGAGAGCAGTCACCAAATATGAAGGGACTTGTTTCTGAGCTGGAAGGTCTCCAACAGGGTTTCGGGGAGAAGGTTTCATGATGGGAATCAAGTTCAGTGAATTTCTTTAAATCAACTACTGTCATTTAGAATTGCCAACGTTCTGTAGCTTTCTGACCAAACTGTTGCGTAGGACCGACTCAATGCTGGGAGCAACTTCAACAGGGAAGTGCCAAATGGTGGGCCAAGAAGACGCTGCTCTTTCCAAATTTGGAGTCTTCAAGGTCCTCTCCTAGTTCATTCTCTTGTCACCTAAGAGAAGTGGAAATAACAGGAAGTGTATGCATCATAAGAGGAGATTTGTAGAATGGCTTCCCCCGTAGGATTTGAGTAGGCTGTCTGCATGCCCTAGAAGCAAAGAAATGATAGCTGTTTCCTCAGTCCACGAAGCCTTGACAGTCCCAGTTACTGAAAACCTAGAGGATTCCTGGAGAGCTCCTGGCATCCAGTCTGCCTCAGTCTGAAGGCAGCAGAGGATGGCAGCCCCAGCAGCGGCAGAAGGGTAAATGCCCTCAGGAAGGAGGGAGAGAAGACAGACATCTCTGCCTTTCCTTGGACCTTTTCTATCTGGGCCACTTGCTGGAAAGTGCTGCCCACTCTGAGAGTTGGTCTTCCCCCTCAGTTAATCTTTACAGGCACACCAGATGTGTATCTTCTAGGTGATTCCACTCACAATCAAGATTAGCCATTGCCCTGCCATTCCCTTGATGGCTATCTGCCCCTCCCCCCAACAATAGAAGCAACACATGTTTATTGTAGTGTTGGAAAATGCAGCTAAATATAGATATTGAAGCACTTTCAATTAAAAAAAACCTACAGTTACTATTTCTGCAGAGTTGACTGTTGCCAACCCAGGACTAGTAGTCTTAGAAATTACATCATATACCCAAATTTCATTAAAAAAAAAAACAGTGAAGGCATTACATAAGCCACAAATCCCCCTGCCAAAAAGGAAATTTTAGGGGCACACAACCAGACATGGGAAGGAAAGCTCCATGGGGTCGGGAGCGAGCACAAGGACAGCAGACATCTGCCCTCCTCATGTCTCAGCCCTCTGCAGTACAACAGGATCATGTGACCAGCTCTTCCTGTGCCCTGAGAGGACAGGAAGAGAGAAGGCAAAAGGGATGCAGAGGCAGATAAATGTTGAGGTTAAGCTGAGCTCTCCTGTTTTATAATGCCAGCGCTGTATCTGCATGGATGGACAACGCTTCGGGTACACCAGGTGGGTACACTGAGTTCATTCTCTGCTCCTTGTTCTGTGTCTTAAGTTTCTTTTACTTAGCATTTTCTGTGCTAGCTTCACAGTTTCTTCTTTTTTATATTTAATAAATTTATTTATTTATTTTACATCTTGGCCACAGTTTCCCTTCCCTCCTCTCTTCCCAGTCCCTCATTCCCATCCTCCCTCTGTTCCAATCCTCCAATCCATTCCTCTATTTCTGTTTAGGAAATGGCGGGTCTCCCATGAGCATCAACAAAACATGACATATCAAATATGCAATAAGATAAGCACCTCCCATGTATTAAGGCTAGACAGTATGAGGAGTAGGGTGCCAGAAGTCTACAAAAGAATCAGAGACAGCCCCTGCTGTGGGAGCTCCTTCCACTCCTTCAGCCAATAGTCTTTAAGATACCAGCCTACTTGGGCGTGGTCTCTTATACTATAAAAGCAGCTGTAAAGCCTGCGCTAGCTCTCTTGCTTCTGGCTCTCAAGTCCAGCTGCTAGACTCTGTTCCTGTTCCCCATTCATGCAGAGAACTGTGATTTAGAACAGTGATCTGTAAGTCTCCCCTAAATAAATAATCCT